GCGGTTTCCCGCACGAGTGGGGTCTGTCAACCTGACTGGACTGTGACTGTGATAAATCAGCCCTGAGAACCCGGAGTCCATCCGGTTACAGAGAGACTTTTGGATTGGTGAGTGGCAATTCTCGACCCTACCTAGGTACCTACCTACTTAGTAGAAGTACTGAGATGTGGTAAGGTGGCTAAGTGTCACTTGTTACTGCACTGTACTGCACTATACAGTAACGTACATACTACTTACCTCCTGACTCTTTATGGGGGTTATGGGAGATGTTACTGGCGAGGAGATAGATTCAGGTACTCAGCTCGGTCAGGTACTTGGATTTGCTGGCGATGATGGTCGATGGTCGATTTCAACTTGTGGGTGAGAGTGTTTTGTGTGGTAGGTGGGTGACTTAGAGAAGGCCCGGGGGGGGCGCGCATCTCATCCTTGAGGAAACTCTATTCAGCTCGGGGAAGGAAATGATGTCAAATAGAAACAATATACAGATAGATGCTTTAACCCACCACTCAATGGTGTCAGCTGTCTCTCTTGTTTATATCTCCAGTAGGTACTGAACCACTGGGGTGTGCTTCGGTTTTTTTTTTCTTTCTTTCTTGGTTTGGTGTTTGTTCCCACCAGTCCAAGCCCATTTCAACAGTCGTAGTAGGAGATGCCTCAAGCATTCGTTCTACTCCAGAGTCTTAGCACTTTTCAACTTGATCTTAAACTTCTACTTAGAAAGAAAGCGACAAGGTAATAGTGGAAGGGAAATTCTATTCAATCTATCCACCTCAATTCATTTATACACGTATCACATCATATTGGACGGGTTTTGGTTCTTTTTTGTTCGCTCCCCTCCCAACCATTCATCAGAAATAAGTGACCAGCACATTTAAACAACAACCTTGTGGGAAGCAGGCTTCTCCTCCTCCTCACCGAAGATGTTGATATCCCAGCGGGGCACGTTGGCGATGTAAGGGGTGTTGTAGCGTCTGCGGTCCTTGCCCAGGGCAGAGACCTTCTCGACCTCCTCAGGGGTGAGCTCCACCTCCTGGAAGTTCTCGGCAATGCGCGAGGGAGTGACCGACTTGGGGATGACACTGTGGCCGCCGACCTGGGACCAGGCGAGGATGACCTGGGCGGGGGTGACGGTCTTGCCGAGGCGCTGCGAGGCGGACTCGGCGACTTCCTTGACTTCGGGGCGGGTGACGAGGAGGGGAACGCCGAAGCCGTTGTTACCGAAGGCCTGATGGGATTTCATTTATGATTAGCTTGGGGGAACTAGCCGAGGTATGGGAGAACCGAAGCCAACGTACGGAGTAGGCAGTGATATGGATGTTCTTCTTCTTGGCGTACTCAATCAGCTCGGTGCTCTGCAGGACGGGGTGGCGCTCGATCTGGTTGACGGCGGGGACAACACCGGTGGCGTTGATGATGGCCTCGAGCTGTTGCAGAGATTAACAATCTTGTCCAGTCATTGTTGGAAAGCAGGACCAATCCTTACGTGCTCGACCATGTGGTTGGAAACACCAACGGTGCGGGCCTTGCTCTTGGGGAGCTTGGTCACGGCTCTCCAGGTGTCGACAATGGAGATCTCGTCGGTGATGGCAACGTCACCGCCCTCGACGCTGCTGTTCTCAACCAGAGGGAAGTAGTCGTTGCCGCGGGAGAAGGAGACGGGCCAGTGGACCAGGTAGAGCTGGGGCTATTAGCGATTGCAGAGCCACAAGGAGTATCGGTGTCCTACATCGAGGTAGTCGAGCTCGAGCTCAGCAAGACACTCGTCCAGGGCCTTCTCGACATCGTCGGGGTGGTGCTGGCTATGGGGGGTTAGTCGGGATTGAGCGTGACGAGTTGCTCAGACTGACCTGTTCCAGAGCTTGGAGGTCTGGTACGAGTTAGAACATATAGACCGGTGTCAGGAGATGGTTATACGCACGATGAAGATGTCCTCACGCTTGAGGCCGGGGATGTCCTGGAAGGCGCGCTTGATACCCTGGGCAACCTCGCGCTGGTTCTGGTAGCTGGGGATTGTCAGTAAGGATGAGTGATTTGGTTGTCTTGAATGGCTTACATGGTGGCCAAGTCCTAGATCATGTTAGCTTCTAGTTTAATGACAATGGTGCTTTCCAAACCTACCAAGTGACGGTAACCGGCCTTGAGAGCGTGGTAGACGGCCTCACCGACCTGACCGGGGGCGGACTGCCAGGTGCCAAATCCCAGCTGGCTGGAAGAGGTGAGTAAATGTATCTTGGATGATAAAAGACGAGTAGGCGAGGAACTTACGGGATCTCGTGGCCGGAGCTGAGAGTGACCTTCTTTCCGAGAGACATTGTAAATGAGGAGAATATGATCGATGGACGTGGAGAGACGGAACAGGGAAAGGAGAATGGTTCAGGGGAATTGAGGAAGAATAAAAGAGAAGGGGAAAAAAAAGGAAGAAGAGGAGGAGGTTGCGAAAGAAATACGAGAGGAGCTCGAGTGTGGGGGGGGGGAAGGAGGAGGAGGAGGGAAGAGGAGGGGAAGCGAGCCGTCACGACATCTAGAAAAGAAAGTAGTATGTTTTACCCCGCCAGTCGGTCTCAGACTCTCAACAGTCAATCAGTCAGTAAGTTACCCCTCGGTGGGGCCAAGCGCGTGGGATGGCCTCAGGTTCCCCCGTTCAACCATTCCTGGATACAGGAATTGTCGAGGGAGTCGTCGACAGGACTACTCTAGTCCGGTCCAGACGAAGCAGGTACCCTCATCTCCGATAGGCAGTCTTCGTGTGATGCAGTGTCCTCAACGACTCGCATCTACAGCTGCATCTCATAGGACCAGGAGCAGTGAGTGCAATGCAATGCAGCATGCACTCACACACACACATCTGCTGCACTTTGACATGATGTCACTTGGCGATTCCGACAGCTAAACAAGATTGAACTTACTCAACTCAAGTAGAAAAAGATTCCTCCGGCTTCTTTCCCCTTCAGTTGGACCATCGATTGGTGGAGACGACAGCCACAACACCATACTCTATTGGGTCAAGCGCCGGAGAAATTGGGGTCCTCCAGTCTGGGACCGAGAACAGTCAAAATAGCCTTCACTTTCCTCCGTCCACATGAGAAGCGAAAACGTGGGGGAGGTTAAGGGGGGAAATTGTACAGAGTACGGAGTACGTACTCCGTACACCTTCGGGTCAACCCTCCACCGGAAGTCCCTCGTCCCCGCTCGGAGAATTACCCGTTCGGGTCGACCAGTTTATACTCCGCTCCAGCTACCTGGTAGTCTAATGTCGTTTCAACTCTCGGTTAATATCCCGAAACAACACCCGAGCGAACTATATGTTCAGATCAATTGTGCAGAGATAGAGAAATGGGTATGTAATAGTAAGATCACAAGTTCGTGAGTTTGGGGCTAGATGGCACAGCTTCAAGGTGACCCAAGTGTCCACGACAATCTGGAATTGGGGTCACTGGAAGGAGGTACACCTTGAATAGCGCACCGCTCTCAATCCTGCAGAGACGGTCACAGACCCCCAATCAGATGCACAGATCTATGTATGCCGGCCATTGGATTGCTCGCTGCAGAAGTTCTACATCTTAGGAGACCTGGATTCCAGCCTGGAGTCCATGCGGGTCGGTCCTGCTGCACCAAACATTCTAGTGCAGCCCTATGAACCAATGCTTCGATTCTTGAAAAAATGCGGGATTCCCACCATCTGGCACTGCCTGCGCCAGGACCTTGTCGAATGTCATAGCGAGTAGTGAGGAAATGAGAGAAAGGCGCACAGGGGTGGATGACTCTGCGCGTCGGGTATGACTTGCGACAATTAAGATGAGACACGCGCTTCACATGACGGAAAGTAA